CAAAAGTTTAATCTGAGTAAATGTAACATTTTAAAGGAAAAATATGTTGATTCAAAATTTCACAGTGTCAACAAATCCCAAAAAAGTTGGGACAAGTAGCAATAAGTGGCTGGAAAAAGGAAATTGAGCATATAACGTACAGCTGGAAGACCAATTAACACTAATTAGGTCAATTGACAACATGACTGGGTATAAAAAGAGCTTCTCAGAGTGTCAGTGTCTCTCAGAAGCCAAGATGGTAAGAGGATCACCAATTCCACCATTGTTGCACAGAAAGATAGTGCAGCAATACCAGAATGGTGTTACCCAGCGTAAAATAGCAAAGACTTTTAAGTTATCATCATCAAAAGATTCAGAGGACTGGAACAATCGCTGTGCGTAAGGGTCAAGGCCATAAAACTCTACTGGATGCTCGTGATCTCCGGGCCCTTAAACGTCACTGCACCTCAAACAGGAATGCCACTGTCAAGGAAATAACAGAATGGGCTCAGGAATACTTCCAGAAAGCATGGTCAGTGAACACAATCCACCGTGCCATCCGCCGTTGCTAGCTGAAACTCTACAGTGCAAAGAGGAAGCCATTTTTAAGCAAGCTCCACAAGCTCAGACGTTTGCACTGGGCCAGGGGTCATTTAAAATGGAGTGTGGCAAAATGGAAGACTGTTCTGTGGTCAGATGAGTCACGATTTAAAGTTCTTTATGGAACACTGGGACACCATGTCATCCAGACCAGAGAGGACAAGGATAGCCCAAGTTGTTATCAACGCTCCGTTCAGAAGCCTGCATCACTGATGGTATGGGGTTGCATGAGCGCCTGTGTCATGGGCAGCTTGCATGTCTGGAAAGGCACCATTAATGCAGAGAACTATGTTCAGGTTCTAGAACAACATATGCTCCCATCTAGACGTCATCTCTTTCAGGGAAGACCCTGCATTTTTCAACACGATAATGCCAGACCACATTCTGCAACAATCACAACATCATGGCTACGTAGGAGAAGGATCCGGGTACTGAAAGGGCCAGCCTGCAGTCCAGATCTTTCACCTATAGAGAACATTTGGCGCATCATAAAGAGGAAGGTGCGACAAAGAAGGCCCAAGACGATTGAACAGTTAGAGGCCTGTATTAGACATGAATGGGAGAGCATTCCTATTTCTAAACTTGAGAAACTGGTCTCCTCTGTCCCCAGACGTCTGTTGAGTGTTGTAAGAAGAAGGGGGGATGCCACACAGTGGTAAAAATGGACTTGTCCCAACTTTTTTGGGATTTGTTGATGCCATGAAATTTGGAAACAACATATTTTTCCCTTAAAATGATACATTCACTCAGTTTAAACTTTTGATCTGTGATTTGTGTTCTATTCTGAATAAAATATTAGATGTTGGCACCTCCACATCATTGCATTGTTTTTATTCACAATTTGTTTAGTGTCCCAACTTTTTTGGAATCCAGTTTGTAAAAAAAATCTAATAAAGACAGTCTTTCAAAGTCAAAATCAAAGTTCTTTTACTCGCGCCCTACCTGCGTCTCTTAGCCATCAAAGTTTGAATTCAGGACCACTGACAGCTGCGAGGAGGGCATCTTTGTCGTCCAGCACACCGGCAAAACAAGTCTGGATAGTCTGAAAAATATAATATGTTTTGATATGTCGACAAGGCCTACTAATTACAGTATTATGTCATTGAATTACTTGCAAACCATGCCTAATGTGGGATCAATATTATGGATTTAATTTTGTTTTAGGATTCTTATTGATATTTGCATTTGTTTTAATTTTTTGCTATGATAATGAATATATTGTACAATGTACAAAAATAGTGTGATTCAAGACATTTTAACTAGCTTACAGATGGAACATACCTGCACTATAACATCTGGAAGGCCTGCAGTCATCCTGGAGAGCAAATCTTTCTCAGCCAGGGTCTTCTGCATCAGAACTTCAAGTGTGGGCAGTAAAGTCCCATCAGGACAGTCACCTTGTTACTCCCATATCTTCTGTTACCGGCAGTAGCAGTCCAAACATCCACGGTAGTTGACACAAAGTCGACATCATTCAGCACAGCCTTCAGGTTTCTCTCCATCTCTGCACACTCCTTCTCTAGATACACAGAAAAGCTCCTCTGTGAGGCAGCTCGGCATTTACAGTGGTGGGGATTCAGTTTATTATGACACGAAATGAAGGCGAGTCAACCGTGTTGAAGGGCAGCATTTCTTCTACTACAAACCACCTGACCAACTTTTTAAATTCTCCCACACTTTCTGGTTTTGCACCTAAGTCAAGCTTTTATTGTTTGGCGGTGGGGGACCTCCTGTCGCAGCTCTCTGCTTCAAACCACCTGGCGAGACTTGCTCCATCAGTTTGACTGTCCCGTGCTGCGACTCCAAACGTTTCTTCAGATGTGATGTGGTGTTTTTGAAGCTAGACAGCACTTTCTCACCAGCACAGAGGGAACAACGAACCTTGATATTGTCATCCTTCACTGACAGAAACTCAAAATAGTTCCTATATTTCCAGCTACAAAATGTGTATCTTCCTCCTCGCTCCACCGTTTACGTTTCAGTCGCGGCGTGGTGTCGGGTACCACAGGTGATGAGAACGTGACTGAATTGTTGCATAGACCCAACGTCACTCCCTGAGACATTTTTTTGTCACTCCCCGAGACGCATAGAGGAAATAAAATTCAATTGTAGTACTAGAGAAAATGACGCACAGTAATTTGGATAAGTAACTTTAATCTGATTACTGGATTTTGAAATAGCAACACGTTAGATTACTAGTTACTGAAAAAAGTGGTCCGATGTCAGTAACCCATTACAAAGTAACGCGTTACTGACATCACTGTTTTTTGATCAACTGACTTGTATTGTACAAGACTCATCATGCACACGTCACTGAACTACAAGAATGATCAGTAAAGCCCAGGAGAAACATTACCTGATGTGTTTCATGTAGTTTTTCTCATTGTGGAAAGTCTGCATACACTTGTTACACAAGAACTGATCCCTGGATGTTATTTTTTGTTTCCTCTTACACTCTTCTTCTTCTTCCTCCTCATCCTCGTCCTCAGTGTCCAATACAAACAAGGGGTCATTATTCTGCATCTCATCGTCACTCTTTATCTCAACGTCACATGCCCAGTCATCATCAGATAAAGGCTCCAGCAGTGAGGTCTCTTCCTTTTCTTCCTTTACATTTGGCCGAACGGCGTCTTCAGTCCCGTTCTCACTCTCCTCGATGCTTTTTGTCTCAACTTGTTTTTCACTGTGAAGATTCTCATTCGAAGAGTAACGACGAGGATTATGGACCATTTTACAGCCTTTTGTCTTTTCTCCATTTTTAGTGCTACCTGAAGCATCTTGAAGTTTGTGTTTTGAAGCACATTTTCTTCTCACTCTGGGTTTTTGTGGAACTCCAATATTTAAGGCATCACCGCAAATCTCCGACAGACTCTCACAATCCAATATCTGTGCAACGGATTGGACATCACCGATCTTATAATGGGCCATTTTTCCCTCGTGCTGCTGAGAAAAACACACAGAGGGGACATGTTGCTTAAACAATCCTTATAAAATAGTTTGAATAGTCAGGCAATAAAAAAAAATATATATATATACATATTTACAAAGTTTTTGTTAAGTTTTAGCACATGTGGAAAAAGAAGGGCCAGAGGAGGCCCTTGACGTTTTCTTTTAAAAATAAAGCATTTTAATTATTATTTTTATTTATTTATTTTACAAATAACAGGATTTTAGTAATCAATATTTAGGAAAGTTAATGCAAGGTTTAAACAATATGCTAAGAGTATATTTTTGTAAATTGACCAAGCATGACAGCTATGCTAAAC